AACCTAACATCAAATCAAACCCTATGCCTCCGCATGGAGGACCAGAAGTAAATGAAATCAATATACTCACCGACTTTGGGGAAATCAGGAAGGTAAAGGCCCCGATAAACTTGTTGAAGGAATATCTGTTGGAATATGGGTTCCTGCTGGAGCATAATAAAGCCTTCAAAAGAATTCTACAGAAGCTAGTGGGCCAGGGGATAGTCCAATTCGGACCATACCCTGAAGCAAAATACATAGCTACGATTGAAGGGAAGTAGCCACTGGTAATCCCTTGCCAAGGCCCAAATCTTAACAAAAATACTTTGGTGATCCCGTGGGAAGAATCGGCAAAAACCCCAGAGATAGCAGCATCAAATAAGACCTTGCAAATATCATCAGCTCCAAAGGCCACAATGGTAATTAAGGGACCGTCACCTATCCCTTATGAAAGTAACAAAGCCTCACCTTGGAGTTATGATTCAGCCATGTACATTAATGGAGTGAAACAAGAAGATGGGCCATCATCAAGTCAAGAACATGCAATTTCAAATATAGCAAGGACATGAGGCATGACCCGTAGTGGTCGAGTCTTAGGATCTGAACCCCCAAAGAATATTAATGAGATAGTAAAGAATAAAAATGAGATGTCAATAAAAGATAAAGGAAAAGCAGTGGTAGAAACAAGTTAAGAGAAAGAACCTCCCAGCAAAAACTTCACTAACCAAGAGGCAGAGGAATTTCTGAAAATAATCAAAAGAAGTGACTACAGGGTGGTGGACCAGCTTCACCAAACCCCGACTAAAATTTCCATACTCTCGTTGCTCATCAATTATGAAGCACACTGAGACTCTTTAATGAAGGTACTAAGTTCAGCCCATGTTGTAGAGGAGATTACTGTGAATCAATTTGACAATGTTGTAGCAAACCTAACATTCGAATCATACCTGGGTTTTACTAATAATGAATTTCCACCACAAGGCCGAGCTCACAACAAGGCACTACATATCTCCATTCAGATAGGTACTACCAGCCTATCCAGAGTACTCACCGATAATGGCTCTGCCTTCAACGTGTTACCAAAATCAAGTCTGATGAAGTTAACATTAGATGACGTCATGATAAGGCCAAGCTCTACAATAGTGAAAGCATTTGACGGTTCTCAAAGCTCGGTATTGGGAGAGGTGGACCTTCCAATCAAAATTAGGCCATATATCTTCTATATCACTTTCCAAGTCATGGATATAGAGCCGACATACACTTGCTTACTGGGGAGACCTTGGATTCATGAAGCATGGCAGTCACTTCGACCTTACATCAAAAGTTGAAGTTCTTAGTGGAAGGGAAATTAATCATAATCGACGGTGAGAAGGACATCTTCGTAAGTCACATCGAATCGTACAAATATATTAGTATCGACGAAGATTATATATCCACCCCATTCCAAGTCCTGGAAGTTGCTTAAATGGTGACTTTACCAGTCGAGAAAAGTAATAAGCCTAAGGTAACCTCATGGAAAGATTTGCAAACAACAATGGAAGGTGGTGCCTTGAAAGGTTAGGGAAAGCTTCTAGAAATTCCCAAGAAGAAGAATCGCTTCGATTTGGGCTATGAACCACCAAAATCTACTCTGAAGGGTAAAGCACGGTTTCCTCAAATCCAAGAGACCTTTATCAACAAGGGAATAGAGCATAGCAGACATGTGGCGATAATATCCAACAAAGTCAATACCAAAAGGGAAACTTACTTCATCCGAGAATGTGCCCTAGGAGAAGAACTCAAAAGCTGGACTGTCGTGGAGATTCCCGAGATCTTTTTCTTTCTTAAGTAGTTTTTCTTGTCTTGAAAGAACATATGTCAAGCCCGAGGCATAAGGGTTGCTTTTAAGGGTCCCCCCCGTTTTGTTTCAGACAATGTTTACAATTAATAAAAATTATATTTTATTTTCAATTAAGATCCTTGTCTTTCTCTTGCATTTATCTCTTAAATTTAAAAATGGTAATACTTTCTCTTCATATGCATTTTCAAAGTTCATATACTAAAATCTACATCAAAACATGATAAATATGCAGATTCATGCCTAAAACCACCGATAGTTTTACTGTTGCGATTCGATATAATTTTGATGCTCCTATCAACCAAGCTGAAGAGGAAGGTGATGAAGATCTTGAACTTTCTGAAGAAATGGAAAGGGAAATAGAGAGGAAGGCGGACAACATACAACCGTATCAAGAGGCTATTGAGACCATTAATCTAGGCACAGAGGAAGATTTGAAAGAAATCAAGCTAGGGACAATGTTAGAGCAGATCGTCAAAGAAAGGCTGATCAAGCTATTACAAGAGTACGTGGATATATTTGTCTGGTCCTACAGAGACATGTCGAGATTAGATATAGACATTGTGGTGCATAGACTACCTCTCAAAGAAGATTGTTCTCCAGTTAGGCAAAAATTCAGAAGAACTCATCCAGATATGTCTAACAAGATTAAAAAACGTCTTAATTTTAAATAGTATATCATCCACATCACCTTCCTCATTATTTGATATTGCGCCGATTTTCCATTGTTGATGTTTTGACAATTATTATGAATACTTCACTTATAACCTACAATAACTTTAACAATATCACAAAAGTCAATTTCAAATTATGAATCATCAAGTAATATTTCTTCATTCCATTACAACAAAATTCATTGTATGACCGTCCACAATTTAAGTGATGGATTTTGGTGACGGATTTTAGTCTTTATTTTTTGTGACAGACTCGACATCTAGTTTGTTCATCTCTATTTAATTTATAAGTATAAAAGTTTCAACCTGTGATTTAATACGTCATGTTAACATCTCTGTCACATTGTGATGCCATGTGATGTATCACATCCTTCTCCACCCATGAACACTAACAAGAGGGATTAAAATTGAAAATGAAAAGTTTATAGGAATCATTATTAATAGGAAAATTTTTAAGGGATTAAAATTAAAATTTGAAATATTTATGAGGATCACTATCATATTTAATCTAAAAACTAATTCTTTAGTTGCTTGTTGACCAAACATCTTGAACACAATTTTGCAGGAGAGTGAATGGGATGATAGCCAACCACCATTGTAATGACACTCAACTAAAGAAGACTCTTTGAAGTTTAAGTGACCATTGTACTAGCACTCAATCGCCATTGTATCTAATCAATCCAGATACTAATGAATGACAATGGAACATTTACTTTCTTATACACTTTTAGTGACTCCATGGGGGTGAACAAAAAGAAAAAACTCATGAGAGAATGACTGGTGATCATGCAGGACTGAAAGATAAAAAACATATGAAAATATATAATAACCTATGTGAAATCTCCCGGTACTACATAACTCACTATAACTTGTTTAGAAATAGCTAAAGCTCATCATCAAGAACTCCTCCACAATATTTTATTCTTTTTATATAGAGGGTTTTTCTAATCATGACAAATTATCAACTACTACATTTTCCATTCCCTTCTTATCCTTCATTTCTAAATCAAATTCCTGCAAAATAAAAATAAAATTCTATCTAAGCAGTCGGAGTTTTGAATCGTCATTTGCTAGCAAGTATCTCAATGGAGCATGGTTAGTAAATACAAATAATTTAGAAATAGTTAAATAAGACCACATAATTTTGAACGCAAATATTACAGTTATTGGTTTTTTTTTCGTTTTACCATAATTCACTTGATTTTCATTAAGAAATTTAATAGTATAGTAAGTTTCATGGGAAAATTTGTCACAACGTTAGGTCCAATGTAGATCTATAGGATCTATATGTGTAATATCGTTAACTAAATGGTTTTGATGATGAAACTAATATGAAGTGGAGTCCTCACATGAAGTGATGATTAAGTTGTTAAACTTAGAAGATCAAGATGTCAAAGCTAAATTTTTAAAGATAATACTTACTGTCAAGAGGTTCTTAGTGCAATATTCTCTGATGGTCTCTAATCAAGCAATTTTTCGGATGATGATATTTAAAGAGAGATTGTATCAAGTCTCATCAGATAGAAGAAGTCAAGTCTCATATGAAAATTATTGATGTATCAAGCAAGGGATCTTGAAGCTACAAAGTTTGTGAAAGAGAGGAAATATAAAATCTTGTTTTGTCTGTGTGTCAATGATCATAATCATGTAAAAGATATTAGAGTAATCCTTAACTAACTAAAGCAATACATACACTATGTTAAAAGTGATTTTAACTCTATCTATTCGATAAAAGTCCATAAAACACTTAGAGGAACCATCAAGGTGATTCCCTATGCTAAAATTGATATTTTGTATCGCCTAATTTAATAATACTTTTTAAAAAAATGCTAGTAAAAAAGAAAAAGACATTTATAATAGCATTTTATGATCAGACACTATTATAGAATACAAACAATGTGTTTTTGATAGCACTTTGTGAAAAAACACCGTTATAAAACTTCAGTAAGATGACGTTTTCTTCAAAATACTATTAATATTATACAATAAGATAACACTTTAGTCAAAATGCTATTAATATTATACACTAAGATAGTATTTTCGTCAAAATGCTATTAATATTATACACTAAGATAACACTTTCTTCAAAGCGCCATTCTTTTCATAATAATGATGTTTTTTTTTCAATATATCCTTTATTATTTATTTTTCTTTCTTTTCTCAATTCTCTTAATTTCTCTTTCTCTATAATTAATGAAGGACAATAGTGTAAAATCATGCATAATTTTTTCTTTCTCATACAATAATGATTATTTTTATTAATATGTCTGAAATGCCCAAAACTTTTTATAATTTAGAACTAAAGGAATAATTAATAAGAAAAATTAAAAAAAAATCAAAACGCGTTACTATGTTATAACGTTTATAAGAAATTGCTATTGTTTTATAATATATAATTAAAAGAATAAAATCAAAAACAAAAACACAGCATTTATAAGAAATCGCCATTGTTTTATAATATATAATTAATAAAATAAAATAAAAAACCAAAACACGTTTTTAACTGATACTTTTTCATTTTGGCGCACAATTTTTGGCCACTCACCACCAAAAACCAAAACGCTTATCGCTATCTCTTTTTCACTTCCACAACTCACCCCTTTCCACCGATTCTTCTTCATCTTCATCGTCATCTTCCGGTAGTCTTAAGCCGAACAAGAAGAAGCTCGAAAGAAACACCATCGACTCTTCTTCGTCAGCCATCGATTCTCCACCGTTTCATCGGAAAGAAAGAACGAACCCAACAACGCACTCTTCTCCATTCTTCTTTATTTTCAGCTTTTTTCGATTACTTATTTGTCCTGTTTGAATCGGAAGTTTAGAAACATAGGGATTTTGGGCTGAGATTTCTTCGATTCGTGCGATTGAGGTGGTTTTGATAAAATCTGACATTTATGTTTAAGGTAGTATCTCAAAATCATATTTGATCGATATAAACATAGAATCATCCATATGTCGGAACATGTCTATAGTTAGTTAGTTTGGTTATCAAATATGGAATAACATCAAGCTTGTGTGGAGTATACGTACAACTACAATATCTGGATAAGGTATAAGTCTCCACAAATTGGAGTCAAGGAGCAGGAAAGACCAATCTGAAGGATGACCAAAAGCTCAAAAACTAGATAATCTAAAGACGAAGATCGGTCTAATAGAAACATGTTAATGAAGGGTTTTATTTTTATTGTCAATTAATAAAAGGCAGGTAGAATAGGTCTCAAATTTAACTATCATTTTGTTTCCATAATTTTAGCTAGCTGATTTATTTTCTTAGTTTTAGGAGTATTCTGTTTCAATTCTGTTTTGTAAAGGCTATTTAAAAGCCTAGTTTCCAATTAATAGAGTATCGAAGTATTTTTCCTTTAAATTGTCAATAAGTGGTATCAGAGCATATCTTAAGAGTCTGACTTCGAAAACACTTAAAAGAGTGAAAAGAGAGATGGCGAAGGAAGGGCAAAACCTATTGAGCATTCCAAAATTTGATGGCGATTACGATTATTGGAGTATGCTGATGGAAAATCTACTTTGATCAAAAGAGTGGTGGCATCTCATTGATCCAGGTTACAGTGAACCAGCAGCAGGGGTAGAAGAAATCGAGGCACAAGTAGCTGTGAAAGCAGATCTAAAACTAAAATATTTGAAGGTTAAAAATTACTTATTCACAGCCATCGACAAGAGTATTTTGAAGACAATCCTTCAGAAGGAGACTGCTCAAAAACTATGGGATTCAATGAAGAGGGAGTATCAAGGGAGTAAAAGGGTGCAGAGATCACAATTGCAAGCTCTTAGAAGGGAGTTTGAGGTCTTGGAGATGAAGGAAGATGAGACAGTCACATAATACTTTGCACGGGTAATGTTGGTTGCAAACAACATGCGTAACAATGGAGAGGCCATACAAGACATCAAGATTGTGGAAAATATATTTCGAACTCTCACCGAGAGATTCAATTACATTGTAGTATCTATTGAAGAGGCAAGAGACATAGATTTCGTAACTGTTGATGAGCTACAAAGCTCGTTGGTCGTGCATGAACAAAATTTTCAAAGGAAGGTAATAAAAGAAGAGCAAGTATTAAAGGTGACATATGAAGAGAGAAACACTTGAGGCAGAGGCATGGCTGGAAGCGGTCGAGGCATGGTTGGAAGAAGCCGAGGCAGAGGTTGAGGGAGACATCCAACCAATAGAGCATTGATTGAATGCTATCAATGTCACATGATAGGACACTATCAGTATAAGTGTCCTGAGTGGGATAGAAAAGCAAACTTTTTAGACTTTGATGATGATGATGAGGAGCTTCTACTCATGGCTTACGTAGAAAAACACAAAGCTACCAGAGATGAAATTTGGTTTCTCGATTCAGGGTGTAGCAACCATATGAGTGGTAATTGAGAATGGTTTTTAGAATTGAATGAAAGTTTTAAATAAACTATAAAGTTGGGTAATGATAGCCGTGTTGCTGTTATGGGAAAAGGAAGTGTGCGAATGCAAGTGAATGGAATTGTTCAGGTAATGTCGAATGTGTATTACATTCCTGAATTAAAGAATAACCTACTTAGTATAGGTCAACTACAGGAAAATGGGTTAACAGTGCTAATCCAAAATGGCACATGCAATGTGTATCATCAAAGAAAGGGAGTGATTATGCACTCATACATGAATGGGAATAGAATATTCTACTTTCTAGCTGGTATGGTTTCAAAAGCTCCAAGGTGTATGCAGATTCAGTCCATGGATGAGTCACACTTGTGGCACTGTCGATTTGGGCATTTAAGCTACAAAGGTTTACATGCCTTATCACACAAAGGAATGGTGGAAGGGCTGCCAACCACCATTACAGCTCCGCAGAAATTGTGCTCAAATTGTTTGGTAGGTAAACAACACCGGGAGAACATCCCAAAGAAGAGCCTATGGAAATAAACACATAAACTGCAGCTGATACACTCAGATATATGTGGTCCTATTACCCCGACATCGAACAGCAACAAAAGGTACATATTGAGTTTTATTGATGATTTCTCACGAAAGACATGGATATTTTTACTAAACCAGAAATCAGAAGCATTTATCATGTTCAAAAGTTTTAAATCATGTGTGGAAAAGGAGGCTGGAGCAAGCATTCAATGCCTTAAAACAGATAGGGGTGGTGAGTTCACTTCAAATGAATTCACAAAATTCCGCAAAGAGCGCGGGATTAACAGACAACTCACCGCAGCGTATACGCCTCAGCAAAACGGAGTTGCTGAGCGCAAGAATCGAACAATCATGAACATGGTTCGATCCATGCTGGTTGAGAAGAATATGCCAAAAGAGTATTGGGCAAAAGCAGCAAACTGGTGCATTCATATCCTAAATAGATGTCCAACAGCAGCTTTGGATGATAAAACTCCACAAGAAGCTTGGAATGGCATTAAACCAAACGTAGACTACTTTCGAATTTTTGGTTGCTTAGCACATGTACTGATACAGATATAACTCCTAGTGGTGGAATTAGTAATGGGCAGTCCACTGTTTTGCAGCCCAATACTACTGAAGCTAGGCCCACTCGTACTAAGAGGATACCTTCTAAGTACAATGACCATTTGCTTTATTAATGAATACTATATTTTCCTAGTTGCATTTTATTCCCTTATTCCTAGTATGTTTCTAGAAGGTTGTGACTCAGCCAAGTTTGTTAGGATTTGCTTAGCTGTGAGATCTCCCACTAGATTCTCTATTGCATTTCCTTTATATGCTGTAATTGCTCTTGAAGCGGATTATCAATGAAATTCTGTTAAGAAAACTCTCTTCTCTTTCTTTATACTTGCTTGAGGTGGTTTGCTCGGTCCTTAAAACTGAGCACTATCAATTGGTGCTTTCATTGTGTTGAATTCATCCTTCTTCCATGGCTCCACCACCAGATCCCATCGCTGATCTCACTCGTCAAGTCGCCACACTCACCACTCAGCTGGATGCTATGCGTAAACCCTTCGACGATTCCGGAGGTTCTCGTTCCAGTGTCGATTCGCAACACCGTCCCCGTCTCAAACTCGACGTCCCTCGCTTTGATGGTACTGATACACATGGCTGGATTTTTAAGATTTCTCAGTTTTTCACCTACCATCAAACTCCAAATGAGGAACGCATCACCATTGCGTCCTTTTACCTTGATGGTCCGGCGTTGGCGTGGTACCAGTGGATGTACCGGAATCGCCAGATCGCATCGTGGGATCAATTTCTGGAGAAATTGGAGATTCGTTTCGCTCCAACGGCATTTGATGATCCTCGTGGCAATCTGTTCAAGCTCACCCAATTGTCGTCAGTGACGGCGTATCTCACCGAGTTCGAAGCTCTTGCTAACCGTCTTGAGGGTTTATCTGAGACTGATTTACTCAGTTGTTTCATTTCTGGGTTGAAGATTGAGGTTCGCCATGAAGTGTTGGCTCAACAACCAAAGACTATTGCTCAGGCCGCCGGTCTCGCACGATTACAGGAGGATAAATTGCAGGACATTGCTCGTTCTTCTCGTCCACGACCATCACCACCACCGTGGCATTCTACGTTTGGTTCTCGTCCTTCACCAAAGCCTAATTCCGACCTTCCCTCCACGGCGAAGTCTTCTCAAGGCTTACTTCCTACCCCACCTGCTAAGCCTCGATTTAGGCATCTTTCTGGGGCGGAAATGGATGATCGACGTAGCAGAGGGTTATGTTTCAACTGTTACCAACCTTGGTCTAAGCAGCATAAATATGGTGCCCTTATTTATTTGATGGTGGCTAATGATGATGATCTTTCTTCTGCGACAGGTGATTTAGAAGCAGCGGTGGCTGACTTGGTTGACAGCGGCGTCACTCCGGAGGACACCTCGATTCACGCTGCTCAATTGAGCTTGCACGCTCTTTCTGGCGACCAAGCTGCTGACACCTTTCGACTTTCGGGTCGGATCTCTTTGGAACCAGTGGATATTCTTGTTGATGGGGGTAGTACCCATAATTTCATTAAAGAGACTATTGCTGCAGCTTTGGGCCTGAAGTTGAGTCCAATTGATCCATTCATGGTTTTGGTGGGTAGTGGCCAAGAGTTGTTGTGTTCTCACATTTGCCAGGAGGTGTCAATCGTAATGCAGGGCCACTCATTTTCCATGGACCTATTTGTTTTGGGTTTGCGGGGTGCTGATGTAGTGCTGGGAGCCCAATGGTTGAAAGGGTTAGGCCCAGTTTTAATGAATTATAATTCCCTTACTATGACCTTTTTTCACAAGAATACTTGTGTTGAGTTAAAAGGAGATTCACCCACTCCTACTGTGGGCCTACATCACTTCCAAAGGCTTACGAAACTTAACCCAGAAGCCCAATTATTCTCCCTTCATATTACCGGTCCATATGATACACCTACTCAACACACACCCGCTCACTCACCTTCTTTACCCGCTACAGACCACCTTGACCCAGACTTCATTTCCCTCCTCTCTAAACACTCACACCTATTCACTGAACCCTCCACCCTCCCCCCATATCGTCCCACCGACCACACTATCCCCCTCTTACCTCAATCCACACCAGTAAACGTCTGACCCTACCGTTACCCCCATTCCCAAAAATTAGAAATTGAATCCCAGGTAGCCAAGTTTTTGAAGACAGGGTGGATACAACCTAGTACAAGCCCATTCTCATCCCCCGTGCTTCTGCTTAAAAAGAAAGATGGTTCTTGGCGTATGTGCATCGATTACCGTGCCTTGAATGCAATTACAGTCCCTGATCGCTTTCCCTTTCCAACCATCGACGAGTTATTGGATGAATTGGGTAAGGCCAGGGTATTTTCCAAGCTAGACCTTACTTCGAGTTT